GCCCATGGCAGGGGGGTTGGAACTAGATGATCTTTAAGGTCCCTTCCAACACAAACCATTCTGTGATTCTATGATTCTATCAATGTTTGGACTAACCCTGTTTCTGCAAGGACAGCATAGTGGGATCTATCTCGCACCTGTGATCACAGGGAAAACTAGAAACAGCAGAAGGAGAGAGGAAAAGGCTCTAACAGCTGCCTTCTGCTGCTCACTGCTTTTGGTTATCAGTTTCTTTGCTGTCCACCAGTTCTGTGAGAAGTCCTCTCCAGAAGGAGGACGTTGTTCTGGTTTCTCTGTTGCCTGCTGACATGCGGACCTCAGCAGTAACAGGCTGCTTTGCTTCAGTCTCAAGAACCGCTGTGCAAATGAGAGGTTTATACAGCCTAGAAAACTAGCCGGGGCCAGTTTAATCTGTTGCTTTCTGCTTACGCCCAGCTGCTCCTACTACAGGTAAGGGGCAGCATAGCATCGCTTCGTGTCTGAATGGCACAAGTCTGCAGTGGGGAGTGTCTGGCATAGTTATTGTGCAGAGTATTTTTGCTCCATCAAAGCTCCTGTGGTGCTACACTATTAGTTACAGGACAAATACATAGGAGATACTTTTTTTAAATTTCACAAAGCTCCAAGTCTCTCTGGTTTTGTTTTGCGCTGCTTCGCTGTTCTTTGAACTGCTGCCTTTACTTGGCTCTTTTCAGACAGACCTCTCTCTAATTAAAGTGATCTATAACACAAATCTGAGGGACTTTGTAGCTAGTTTTTCAGCAAAATAATTCTCTTGAGCTCTACTTACAAGTACAATAACTAGAGACTTCAAGTGAAATTCAGCTTTTCAGTCCTTATTCAGAGGGTGGTGAGGCACTGGCACAGGTTGCCCAGAGAAGCTGTGGATGCCCCATCCCTGGAAGTGTCCAAGGCCAGGCTGGATGAGGCTTTGAGCAACTTGGTCTAGTGGAAGGTGTCCCTGCCCATGGCAGGGGGGTTGGAACTAGATGGTCTTTAAGGTCCCTTCCAACCCAAAACATTTTGTGATTCTATATTTTTCTTCTAATTGAAACAGGTGTGTGATACTAACTGGTGTACTAACTAACTAAATGAACCAGCCAGAGTATGGGTGCATTTTATTTATCTCTTCTTAGTTTTGGATCGTCACAGAGTTGATTTTGTTTGTTTTTCTTTCATCATAATTTACTTAAAAAAATAAGTAGAATTAATTTTAGCAAGAAACTTCCTTTTTTTGTGTTTTCTTCAAATGTATGGAAGGGAAGTGTATTTCTGCTTCTGGCCTAATCTTTTAATGATCAGTTTTAATGACTGGCTAGGAAAAAAAAATAGGGTTTGTGTTGTAAATTTATTTGAAGATACATATACAGAGAGTGATTATGGAGAGGGGTTAAATGAGAACTTAATTACTCTTGCCTGCCAGGGGCAGAATAGCTGCAGTGGGCTTGCCAAGTTTTCTGTTAACTTAGTTGAAAAAAAATGGATTGTAACTATTTTTCCAGAGAAGACATTTCTAAACTCCTAAGTTTTAATGTGGATAGTGAATTAATACCAAATTATACTTTATTTATGCTCTGTTTCTTCTGATTCATTAGCAACTGTGTACAATATTGAAGTGACATGAGATGTAACATGTAGCTGCATTGGCAGTGATGGAATAGGAATTATGCTGGTAGCTTTACAGCTGTCCTAGGCACAACGTAAGCCACTGCAATAACTATGATGTCATTCATAGTTATTAATTCAAACAGTCTGTTGGGAAAGTGAGAGAGTGTCGTGCCAATTCTCTACTCAGGAAAGTTGTTTCCAATGTTTTTGCTCTAGGCTTTAGAATTCAAGATATGCAAGATGCATCCATCTGCAGGATCTCTTGTCTGTGGGCAATGGTGGAGCTACAGTGCCAGCCAGAGATTTGCCTCACTAGTAGATGGCTACACTCTTCTCGTGGAGGTGTATTCATTTGTGGATAACGTTCTGCACATGGATATTTTCCATTACTCGAGGCATAGAGGTCTTGTGAATATTCGAGATATGCTCGTTGAAGAAGGTTATGCTGAGGTAGCAGAAGAATCATACGAATCACAAGTATGTATCGAGAAAGCTGCTTCTACTTTTCCTTACACTAATTTATTTCAGCTCAGGCTGTCTGAAATTCCGAGAAGTTGAGCTGAAGTCTTGACTAATGCCATGGCATGAGCCAAGGTTAATACCTGAATGGGACAATATGTATTTATGTGTGTGCATAATTGATATTGAGCTGCTGGCCAAAAGGGTTGCTGTATTGAGACACCTTTTGAAAGAGATGTTTCCCAGGAGATGATGGCATCAGTTGAACTGCTCCACTGTTTTATGTGACTTTGAAAAAATGCTCCGTAGTTTTAACTCTTTCAGTTTTGTTTTATATAATCTGAAAGGTGAGAACGTTGGGGTTTGGTTTTGTATGTGAGTATACGTTCTTTGTGTAGAATCTTTTTTTTAAAATGTTTGAAAAACATAGGTGTTTCATGGTTTTAACGTTCTTCCATTATTATGTAGCAAAACCATAATTTGGTCAATGGATTATCTCTGGATCAAGCAAAGCAAAAAGAGAAAATGCCTCTGTCTTCAAGAGAGGAAGAAAAGCACCTCATTGGAAGATTGTTAGACTTGCTTTCTGACAATCAATCTTGTATGTCAACCCATAAGGTAATTGGAGTGGTGGTTTTGGCATGGCATTGCATGACCCTGCTTCTCACACTGTTAGAGTGGAGATGGGGACCGGAAGTACCTTTAATAACCAAACCGTACATGATGCTTTCCCTAGTGCATTTTCTCTTCTGTGGGTGGAAAGCTGTAATGTGCCCACCATGGCAGACTGGTCTGTTGTAGCTTTTAACAAACCTTTGAAGTACAGCCTGAGAGCTGAGCGAATGCATTTCAAACACGTTCTGAGGCAGCACTTCACAACGCTGCAGAACAAAGATAACACTGAAAAACTGAACGCAGCGCTTCCGCCCGTGGTAGTCTTCATTATATAAACTACAGCAAACAAACCAAGATTATGACCCTATCAGTTTTTCAGAAAATTGAAACATGGTTTTTACACTACACAATGTTTTGTTCTTCCTCAGCTAGTGATAGGTAAGCACCTGGGATAGGCGATGCAGCAAACACTTCAGTAACAGATAATAATGAAACAGTGGGTGTTTCTTCCACTGCCAATTCCAAACCCAGAATTTATTATTACTTATGTTTTTTGAGATATCTAGTCACTTCTGAGCTGGAATGTAAAACATGACAATGTGTCCTGTGTCCTGTTCTGCATTCTGATTGCAGGTTAAGCCTCATCTGCATTATAATTCTTTTCCCATTTCACACCTGGCAGAATTTCAGGATTTCAAGCACCTAATCATGCTCAGTTTACACACAGGAATAATCTATTTAACTACTTATCTTCATAAAGTGAGATATTTTAAAGATTAAAGACCTGATCATGTAAACAAAAATGAACTGGTTTTGTTAGGTGCTCTATGAAGTCTGAACTTGCAGTTTTTAAAACAGAGGAAAGTCATGAATCCCCAGCACCTGTGAAAATACATTATTTTTGTTTAGGTGTCTCAACAAGCAAAGTTTGCTTTAGATGGGTGAAATGAAAATGCTGTTTATCAATTGTGTTGCTCAGTACATGCTGAAATGTGTTTTGGTTTTCATTTATAAAGGATTTTGGTTTGGAGATATCCAGGAGCTGACTAACAAGCATATCATTTGTTCTCTCTCTTTTTGAAGGTAAAACTTTCTGGCCCATTCACTCCTTATGAGCTGAGATGCTACGGTTTGACTAGAGTATCCGAGTTCAGGTATGAGAAGACTTTTACTGTGAAGGATAGGCACGTTCCCAGCTGTTACTCTCAATAAATAGGCAAAAATCCATCCTATTTATTCTTGCGCATTTTTACACTATTTTTATTCATTGCAAAGACTGAAGTGGTCAGGCCTGAATTGCATTAATATGGACACTATTGCTACGTAAAATTTTACAAACAGTTTTATTAAAGGTGCTTTGTTGTCTTACAGAGAGATTATTTATTAACCATTCTATACAGCTCCTAGAAGGTATCAAGGTGTAATGGGTTTAAGTTGAAAGAGGGGGGGTTTAGATTAAATATCAGGAAGTTGTTATTCACGGAGAAGGTGTTGAAGCACTGGCACAGGTTGCCCAGAGAAGCTGTGGATGCCCCATCCCTGGAAGTGTTCAAGGCCAGGCTGGACGAGGCTTGGAGCAACCTGGTCTAGTGGAAGGTGTCCCTGCCCATGGCAGGGGGGTTGGAACTAGATGGTCTTTAAGGTCCCTTCCAACCCAAACCATTCTGTGATTCTATGATTCAGTCAGTAAGTGCTATCCACTGGGGTTGCATTAGTAATTTAAAACTATTCTTTTCAAAATTTTTTTTTTTAACATGTTTGCATGGTTTGGGGGTTTTTAATAGTGAAAATATTTATTATTTCCTCCCCAGAAACACTCTCATACAGGAAAAAAGCATAAACTCTGTTGTTGTCCATGATACTCTAGAAGATCCCTTTCAGCAGTTGTTTGTTGCTGCTGCTTTATCAACAGATGCAACCGGTAATGTTTAGTAAAACTATTTGGACAGTTTCTCTAGACTTTTGTTTTTATATGAATGGTTCTACAAGTAAATATGTCACTCTAGTTCTACATTACATTTTTTTGAGGTTTCATTTTCTTTAGGCACTCCTGAGTGGTTTTTTGGGTTTTGTTTTTTTTGGTGACAGGGTCTACTGTGACTTTAAAGGAAACTTCTTTGATGCCTCCTATTCCTGGCCTGCTTGCACTCCTCAGTATGCTGTTTGCTCCCACTATAGAACTCAGGTACTCATGTGTTTTGAAAAGTGGTGGGTCTTTCTTTTTAGGACCTGCACAAATTGATGACTGATGCTTTTTTGCTCTGCTTTCAGCATTTGGTATATTCTCTTCCTGTTCATGTAATTCTTGTCTTTTATCAGTTTTAGAACAGTATGTAGGTAAGATAACTTGTTTCATGTCCTTATCAATTGGTGCTGCAGGCTCTGCTCTCATGACAAGGCAATGCAGTTCCTGACAATTGTGCTGGCAGTCTAGGAAGATTGAATGTAGAACTGAGAAAGTTTTAAATCTGCATGAGGAGAGGAACTTGTGTGACTTGTTGTTTTGGTTTGGTTGGGTTTGGTTTTTTTTAAAAAGCTGACTTCTGGCAGTTGCATTATGTTGTGTTTTGTTTAAATTCTGTTTAAAATCTGTAAACTGTCATTTCAGCATAGTGAAGTTAGATTTCCATAATTAAAGTTTCATTTTTATATGTATGATTTTCTTTCTAAGTTTTACAAGTGTCTGTTTTCATAACCAGAACTTTAGTTTTGCTTCATCACTATATTTAAAAAAACAGTATGACTAGGTGTGAATGACTTAATTTTTTTTTTTTTTTTTCTCCTTTAAAACACCATATCTTGCTTCACATGGCCTAGACAAATTCATTTAAGTCTGTCTTCGTATGAGTTTAGTTTCTTCATCTCTAGGTGAGGCTGTTTCCTTTTTTTTCATATAGGGTTGATAAAAATGGAAAGCATTTTACTGGTGTTCTGTGTGGTTTGGGCTGGAGTTGGACAAGTGGGGCTCCACTGCTTCCAGAAAATGACATGGAGCTGACATTTGATGTGCGTTCCGGAGTGGAAGACATAATAGAGAATGTCTATGTGTAAGAATTTTCACTGTAGTAGGAATTAAGTAGAATTCAGAGCATCAGAGCTAGTTAACTCAGCGTTTGCAAGAAAACTTGTTTCAAGCTATGATTTTGAGTTGGTTTAGTGTACTACCTGTTTATAACCTTGGGCTCTTTATCGGGGAAAAAAATGGTTCCCCCTCTGTACACTTTGAAAAAACAAAATACTATAGTTCAATACATTGTACACTTTTCAAAACAAAAGCATCAGTTTGCACTAAACAGATTTCAATACGTTAGTTATGTTTTTAGGATTATTGTGCTTCCTACTGATCAGCCTAGGATTATTGTTTTGCAGTCTTCAGATGGATTTCACAGCTCTGAGAAGACATCTCTATCAAGCACCTTCTCACAGATCAACCAAGCAAACAATAAAGCCCTGTATTCCTCATTACAGCCTTTTTGCAACTTGTAGACCGAGATCTGTCAGAGAAGGATGTACCTATACCGTGTGATGCAGGACATTAAGCTGTATTTGACCTGTGCTTCAGGTCTGAAAGGTGCTGTAGCAGTGAAGGAACTCGCATGCCCTGATTATTCTGTGTACAGGGCACGCACATTAGGTGACCAGTGGTTTCTAGGGGCGTTAAGGAGCCAGTGGACATGCTGGTGCACATACCAGTGAGCTGTCGTTTTTTGAAAGCACTGACTTGGCGTGTGCGATGTCTGTATTCATGGTGCCTTAGCCAGAGCAGTAACACCAAGCTGTCCCACACCTGAAAACGACGGACAGATAGAGAAAATCCTTGAAAATTTTACAGAAGGAATTTGTGTTGGAAAAAATCCAGACAAGTGTTAGGGTGTATCCGAGTAACCTTGAAGACTGCCATATCAAGTGGCTGAACATTAATGTTTTTGACCAGCAGAGGAGGGGAAGGAGTGTTTGTAGAGCTTCAGACATTTTTGCTTATGTTAATAAAATTCCAGTTGAAGTTGGGTGGTGTGGGTGCCTGACCACCTTCTTGTCAGTGCAGTATACTGCAGAAGGAGTGCTGGTTGAGAGTGCTTTGTATTCTGTCACTGGTGTCCTTGCAGGTAAACATCCTAAGGACAGCCGTTAACGAGCTTCTCTGTGAATGTGCAGCGGGTTCTGGGCAAGAGAGAATGACACAGCTGCAGGAGAATGTTCGTCAGAAACTTCTAAGGTAATAATTGTGTGGAAGTAATACCTTCTGTTTCACAGTCTCAGCAAAACCAAAATAAATGATTGCTTAAAGCATAGCTCCATTTAGGCTTTGAGGAAATAATACATGTTCTCACTTAATGATGCATTTCATTTACTTTGTTTATTTGTAAAGAAGTATACTCAACACTTCAGACTGCTTGTGGAAGCACTGGTTTTTCAGGGGAGCCTGATCACTTAAGCCTCATAAAACCTAGACTGTAAAACCTGTTCTGCAGGATCAGTTCCCATGTATCTTTGCTTTGTGCACCCAGGACGAAGCTAGTCAGGTGCAGAAGGGGTTAGAATTCTTGCTTTCTGTCTCTGTGTTACATTTGAATTGTTTGTGCTGCCTTTTCTCCCTCAACAGGCCTGTGCAGGATAGTTACTGGCCAAGTTAATTGCTGCAAGTCCTGGGTTAGCTTATGAAGGCCACCTGCCTCTTTTCCAGCAGGCCTCCCTGCCTCCTGCGACTGGCACAGTGGTTCTGAGAAGACTCTTGTAGTCAGTGCAGCCAATCCTGACAATTTTTTCAGCTTCCCGTGTGTGGGAAGTGTTCGCGGGAGCCGTTTCCATGAAGTATCCCTGTAACAGCTCCTTCTAATGTCTACCACTGCTGAGCCTGCTGTGAAAACTCTTCCCTTGTTTTTAAATGTGGAGCATGCTTTAGTGCTGTCTGTATCATAGAATCATAGAATGGTTTGGGTTGGAAGGGACCTTAAAGACCATCCAGTTCCAACCCCCCTGCCATGGGCAGGGACACCTTCCACTAGACCAGGTTGCTCAAAGCCTCATCCAGCCTGGCCTTGAACACTTCCAGGGATGGGGCATCCACAGCTTCTCTGGGCAACCTGCTCCACTGCCTCACCACCCTCTCTGTGAAGAATTTCTTCCTGAAGTATCATCAGTGGACTTCTCTCATCCTTACTGGCTCTGTACTGACCAGGTTTCAAAAGGAGCTCTGGCTCAGCCGTGAATTAAGACATAATTAACGTTACACTCTGTAGCACTGGACTCAGCTCTAGGAAGTGTGACCTTTTTTGTGAATAGAGCTTTTCTAAAGAAACTGCATGCCAAGGTGAGGCAGTTCCTCATGCTGATAAAGATCAGAAGGTTTTAAGCTCAGCTGACTTTACCATAGGTTATCACAGCGATTATCACAGCAGGTGTTTATGCTCAGTTGTCAGGTGTTTCTTGGTTTTGACTGTACCTGCTCACATTTTTTTCCCCAGCTGTGAAATACTATTACACTGCCTTTAGTTGAAAGCAAGTACCCATACTACTTATTTCTGAAATTTGAAAGGAAATGCAGTGTGTTTTGCATTTTGTAATAGATTAACAAGTGTGGGAAAAGCCTTACCTTCTGAGGCACTGGAAATGAAATTAAAAGAGCATAAACAGTTGCCCAAAGATGTGGAGATACCTATCATGTTACCTGACCAGCAAAGGTGTTGGATATGGCAAGGGAGCCGGGTGGTTAGTTTTGGTCTGGGGCTTACGCTGTGTGTGCTGCCAGCGGGTCAGCTGCTTCTCTCTGAGCCACGGCAGCTTCCAGCCGGCTGCAGTGGGGGGTGTGTGTGTCTCCAGAAAGTGGAGGTACAGCTTCCCAAGCTGTTCACGTTGCGTGTCTGCGAGACTCTTGGTGAAACACCAGCGGTCGATCCAGCGCGCTGCTGACGCAATATTTAATTTCCTGTTTGTGCCCAAGTACCTCAGGCCAGTTGGTGTCTGCGTTGCCTTTGGACACTGCCAGGCAGCACCGTGTTTTCGACCTCAAAGCTGAGTGAAGATGGCCTGCACGGTTCATGTGGTAATATGCAGGGAGAGGTCAAGGATAGGGGGTAGGCAGAAAGAAGCAAACCCCCAAAACCTCTCTGGAGGAGACTGTGACAATAACAGGAACTCATACTTGGACATCAGCACTTATTTTTGTGCCATTAACTTGGCATATGTCACTGCTGTTTAGATTTGTGAATGCATGCTGCTATTTGGGGACATTTTTTGGCTTGGTTGTCCAGTCAGGAGGGCAAGGCGCAGCCTGTGCAGCTCCTTAGCACAGGTTCTCAGCGCTGCAGTCCTGCCTGGCACAGTCAGTGCTGAGTGCCTGGCTCAGGCATCAGACTTCTGGGCTTTTTTACTTTAGGATTTTATACCTTTCTGAGGCGGCGCTTTCTGTTTTGGAGTCTTTGTGCTTTGAGTAGTGTTTGCTGCGGCATCACCGGGGCAGCTTTTCTGCCTTCCTTAACCTCAGGGCAGGCTAACAGCTCGCTCCTGGCAGCCTTGGCCAAGGGTGCAGAGCTGTCCCTGTCTCAGAGTTGGGTCTGAGATGTAGGCAGCCAGGCTGGGGGTTGGGGAGCGTACAGCAGGGAAAAACAGGGTTATGCTATCAAGAAACCAAATTCAGTAATTATTCCTTATTTTTATTCTGGATTCTTTATCTAAAGTTCCTGAAGCTAGGTCTTTTTTTTTTTTTCTTAAAAAAAACCTTTTTGAAGGAAGAGACAATCTGTTTATTATCATCTCTTTCTTATCATGATGTCTTTTTTTGTGTAAAAACTTCTTAATTTTGAATATTTTTTTCTGACTGTACTTTGGTTTATGTCTTGGAAAAACCCAAACCCTAACCTTTCATTAATAAGAGTAAATATGTAAAAAATTTAGCCTCAACAGTCTTTCATAACATTTTTACATTTTTCGAAAGCTAATTGTATTTACAGCGTGTCACCACTACTTAAGACTAAAATGTGCGTTTGAAAAACACAGCTAGACAGACTTAATTAAAGGCTACTACTGTGGTACTTTGCACAGCTTGAGGAAATAACTGGAGCAGACAGACAATCTGTAGTAATTGAGTTGTCATGCAAAACAAAATACCCTAAAAATAGCTATATTATACATTCTGGAGATGAAGCATGCATAAAACTTAGGGAATAAATGACAGATCCAAATTCTAGTAATTTGTAAATTTTTTAAAAATCATTTTCCTTAAAAGAAAATACATTTTGATACACTTAATGCCCCTGTCAAAATTTACATTTAGACTTCTTACACTGGAGGGGCAAAGCACAGAGAAGTGGACAAATCAGACTAGATCAACAAGGAAATTTAAGACTCCCTTCAGCACAGATAACTTGGAAATGCCCAGCTGTAGCCAAAATAAAAATTTCTTCGTATTCGTCATTAATGTAAAGCCTATTTTTATGTCATTTCAGTTTAATCTGCAAATCAAAACCTCGCGATATAATTGTTCCTAAGTGGTATGAGAAGTTGTATGTGTGGAACCAGGTAAGGGAATAAAGGTACTGGTTTGGGTGCTTCTAGTGGTGTTCTGGGTAGCTGTGCTTTCAGGTGGCTTTCGGCTTTCAAGCAGACAGAAACGTGGCTTGCTTTAGAATGCGTGTGGAGGGATCAGGTAGGAGGGCAGTCGTCTTAAACTCTGGGAGTGTTCTGTAAAGCTGAAAAGTCGGGCTTCCTCCCCTGTTAGCAACCTTACCTTTTTTTCTGCAAGGGCCTCTGCAGGCAACTGAATTTCCTGACGAGCAAGTGCATTTTCTTAATTAAAAGTGGGAGAGGAATTAGTGAGTGCAGGACCCTCCCTGTGCCTCTCCCACCCTGAGGCACATAAACGAGGTTTAGGTCTCTCTTCTTGAAGAGACTGACAACAGTGAGTGAGCAGCAAGGGCGCACATTTCTGGTGGGCGTTCGCTGAGGGGGCAGTGTGTCGTGATATGCTGCCTTAAGCCAGTGTTTCTGGTTTCACAGTCCAAATTCAGTTATCCTTGGTATTATGAAGGTAATCTCCTGCTCGGTTATATCGGTGTCTAGCTTCTTATAACAAATCAATGTACAGGCCTTGGGTCAGGGTTTTCCCCGTTGCATCTGAAGTCAGGACATCTTTCTTACATCATCGCGTAAAATACCACGTGCGATGCATTGGAACCGGTTGTGGAATAGGGTTGTGGCTCGGGCCAACCGTGAGATTCAGCATCTAGTAGCACTGGCTCTTCTGCTGAAATGCGTGGCACGGGACCGAAATGCCCCTGTGATTTGAAAACTCTTCCTTAACTGTGTTATTGAGGAAACCGGTATTAAAGAACGCATTCTGACGTTCACCTTGCTGCTTTTCATTAGGTGGATTCTCAGCGTATCGTTGGCCAGTCTGAAAAGCTGCATGAAAGAGGCGATGGTCTTTTCCAGCTACATCAGCTTGTTTTGTTGAATGTTTAAGTATTTCTCGAAGTCTTCCAGAGAGGGGGGTCTTGTAAATAGTTTGAAAGTTACTTCTGTCTCTTGGGCACCTGTTCTGCAAGACTGTTCCTTAGGGTTAGTGTCAGTGGACTAAAATACTGGTTGGAATATGTTCATGTTTGGGTTTTCCTAAAGCTAAGGTTTGCTGACCTAGAGAAGACTTGAGTTTCTTCATAAAACAAACTCATTTAAAGCAGGATGCAGTTTTCATGTGGATACTTCTGAGCAGAGTCATCACAAGGTACCTGAAAGACACAGCAAATCTAGGTGAGGTTGTTCATTTTCTCTCTAAAAGCTCGTTAGCCAAGGGGCATGAGTTTTTTGTCTTTAACTGCAAGTTGCATTTTCCTGTGTTCTTTGTGATTAATTTTTCAAAAAGCCATACAGCAGTGTTTGGGTTTTCTTACTGGTTTTGGGGTTTTTCACAAAATACTAGATATCAAAGGAAACTGATGATCTAGATTATGTTGAGCCCTAAACCAGAATTGCATATACTGCATGCAGTGTTTTCATTAGGTTTTCATACAGCAAAATGCAGTACATGATTCCCGCCGCCCCCCCCCCAAAAAAAACCCGGTATGGCAGAAGAATGCTTTTGCTTTTGAATGACTGATTCACTGCACCTTTGTTTCATCCTTTCCTCTTACCTTACTTTTAGAGTTCTTTAGTCCTAAAATTGAGGTCAGTGGTTTCAGAATAAAATGCAAAAGTGAAATAAAATGTATTTGTCTCTTTTGTTGTGCGGTCATGCTTAATGAAAGCTAAATTTGGTTATTAATGGTATGTGATTGCATTCATGTAATAGATTAATACAAAAACAGTACACAGAAAAGTATTATCTTTTCACTATTCACTCAAATTATCTGAATCACAGGATGGTTTGGGTT